TCATTATGACCTGCAGCAAGTCACTTGCCTTCTCTAGTGTTCAATTGCCTCATTTGTGAAACCAGAGCTGACATGTAAACCAACTTTCCTTCCTTCCTTCCTTCCTTCCTTCCTTCCTTTGTGTAAACCAACCTTCCTTCCCTCTTCCTTCCTTCCCTCTTCCTTCCTTCCCTCTTCCTTCCTTCCCTCCTTCCTTCCTTCTTTCCTTCCTTCTTTTCTTTCTTTCTTTCTTTATTTTTTTTTTTTTGAGACAGTATCTTGCTCTGTTGCCTAGGCTGGAGTGCAATGGCATGATCTTGGCTCACTGCAGCCTCCACTTCCTGGGTTCAAGCGATTCTCCTGCCTCAGCCTCCTGAGTAGCTGGGATTACGGGCACACACCACCATGCCCAGCTAATTAAAAAAATTTTTTTTTTAGTAGAGATGGGGTCTTGCCATGTTGGTTATGCTGGTCCTGAACTCCTGGCCTCAAGTGATCCACCCACCTCAGCCTCCCAAAGTGCTGAGATTACAGGTGTGAGCCACCGTTCCCGGCTAAACTTTCTTTTCTTTGGGGGTTTGGGCTACTCTGTATAACAAGGGGAAGTCTTTCTTTCCATACCAATACCATTAATGTCCATGTTTCCTTTTTTTTTCCCCTGTAAGGACTGCAGATTTATGAGTCACCTCAGTTTATAAAATAAGAAACTCAAGTACAGAACAAATGTGTGCTTTGGCAAAGCTTCCAGGCATACAGTGTGTGCATGTATATGTGCACACAGGGTTGCAGGGTTGCATACAACTTACCCCAGGTCTCTGGCTTTGAATGGACCCTTTCCTCCCAGAGATGCTCAGCAGTCCTTTCCAAGTACAGGACTGTCAACCATTTGTTATTTGTATGCCCAGTCTCTGCTCTATGAATGCGCCAGTGCAAAGGTATGGCATTCCAACTGTTCCCTCTTTCCCTCTGCACACTCCTAGGGCCAGAATGTCCACTGGCATGTTCAGTAAGAACTGTTCAAGCACTGTCCTGCTTATGTCACTGGAGGAGATATAAGACACCAGCCCTTGCCCTCTGGAGCTTCTAGTCTATATGGGAAGCCAGTACGAGGATGTGTATGTGTGAGGAAAGATGCACTATCACATGTGAGGGAGAGCCTGGGAGTTACGTGCTGCTTTTTGTTTTTTGAGGCAGAATCTTACTCTGTCACCCAGGCTGGAGTGCAATGGTGTGATCTCGGCTCACTGAGACCTCTGCTTCCTGGGTTCAAGGGATTCTCCTGCCTCAGCCTTCCAAGTAGCTGGGATTACAGGAGTGTGCCATGACACCCTGCTTATTTTATTATTTATTTATTTATTGTATTTTTACTAGAGACGGGATTTTGCCTTGTTGGCCAGGCTGATCTCGAACTCTTGACCTCAAGTGATCTGCCTGCCTCAGCCTCCCAACGCGCTGGGATTACAGGCATGAGCCAGCACACCTAGCCCCTGCTTTTTGATATGTCTCCAGTATCTAAAAGAGTCTTTGGTACATGGAAGATGCCCAACAGATATATGAAAATGTGTGAAAATTGCTATGGTTTTCAAACTTGATATTGTAAGGGACAGCTTTTCTTCAATGAATTCATACCTGGAGGCTCACTTACGTGAAACAGATGGATACAGTGCTGCCCTGCTTGAGGGAGCTAGGGTCAAAGCCTGCCTGCTTGTTTCCTCTGAGCCCCAGAGAGATTCTTCGGAGCCCATTTGGAAAACTACTAGTCAGTTGAAAATAAAGAGCAGCTCAATCCTTGCTCTCTTCTTAGTTAACCGTAGCCAGCCTAGCAGAATCAATGGAGGTTTGAAGAACCTGGCACTCCAAAGGGAATATTTGCACCTGAAAAGATGGTGTCAATCTCCCCCTTACCCTCCTTCCAGGGGGGGCTCCCATTAGTAAGAGCAGAGGGGAGGAAGTTCTGAATAGGAGACTTCTGACTTGGTTCACAAATGTTTATCATGTAATGGTAATGTTTGTTTAACTTAAAGAAGTAAAGAAAGCCACTGTGGTAATGTTTTCCAGCATTCAATAGAAACCCATTTGGTGTTATCCTACAGGCAGTCTTGATTATAATGTAAAACTCCCTGTGGAGTCTGGTCAGTGAGGAGGTGGTACTGTCATTTACACCATGGTACCTCGCAACATTCAGACAGCTATTAACATTCCTGACCAAGTGCAAGGTCAGCCTCATGCATTGGCAGCCAAGAGGGCCTGCCTGGAGAGAGTTTCTCTTCTCCATGCCTGCAGGACTGTGACTCTCTACCTGACCTGGCCTTCTTTTAGCTTCCCTACCATAACAGGGCAAGGGAGGGGAATCAACCCAGCGGGTATTCCGTGGTCAAGGTCATCCGGGGAGCAAAGTACATCCTAGATTTGCAACTAGGAAACAATTTTGGGTAACATACATCTATTTTTTAAAAAAAGATATGGTGAAGGGGTAAAGCTTTTGAATTAAGATTTTTCATCATTATCCATCTCATGCCTTTCCCATAGGACGCCCTTCCCACAGGTGTCTGAAGGGGCAGGCAGATAATTAGTGCTGGGGATCTCATTTGATAGTAGGGGAACCTGAGAGGTGAAAAGAGCTCTCCTTAGTGAGTTAGCAAGTCACCAGGAACCCCAGCTTCTCCCCTGCTGCTTGGCACAGCCACCTCCACCGCCTCTTGGCCAGTGCTCTGACCTCTACTTAAAAATCTAGCTCAGGGATGGGTGTGGTGGCTCACGCCTGTAATCCCAGCACTTTGGGAGGCCAAGGCGGGTACATCATCTGAGGTCAGAAGTTCGAGACCAGACTGACCAACATGGTGAAACTTCGTCTCCACTAAAAATACAAAGATTAGCCAGGCATTGTGGTACACACCTGTAATCTCAGCTACTCAGGAGGCTGAGGCAGGAGAACCACTTGAACCTGGGAGGTGGAGGTTGCAGTGAGCCAAGATTGTGCCATTGCACTCCAGCGTGGCAACAGAGTAAAACTCCGTCTCAAAAAAAAAAAAAAAAAAAAAAAAAAAAAAAAAAAAAAAAAAAAAAAAAAAAAAAAGGATCTAGCTCAGACCTGACCTGGACTAAACGCACAGCCTTCTGTTTACTTCCCACCCCCTCAACTCCCATTCAAACCACCATCCACAGCATTAGAACTAGTCGTTTGTACTTAAATAAGAGTTAGTATCATGAAATCTGGTCTTAGGATCAAAGCCATTCAAGGTTAGAGCTGGAAGGAACCTTGGAGATGAAGAGAAACTAAGGTCTGGAGAACCTACCTAAGGTTTCATAGCAAATACATGACAAAGCCAAGGCTTCAAGCCAAGTTTTTGTTCCTCGTGCTTTCCTGGCTACATCCGGAGTTTCTCTACTTTTTTTTTTTTTTTTTTTTTTGGTGTCTTTTTCCCCCTATGTGATGCTTCCTTTCTGCGCTGTGACTCTCTCTCTCTCTCTCTCGCTGTCCTGTCTTATTAGAGAGAGGTTCTGGAGCTGGCTGCATAGTACCTGTTCTCTGGGACCTTGGTATTGATCTAAGGCTGGTTTAACTACCTAAAGAGAAGCAGAGCTCCAAGGGAGCGTGCCATAACCCAACTCTGAAACATGACTTAATCCCAAGTAAGATCAACTCTGACATTCATTCATAAGCAAAAATGATGGATTCTAGATTTTAAGTGACTTTCGCCCAAGGTCATCCAGCCAAAAGGTGGCTGGAGCAGGGGACAACAATAGGTCTTCAGGCCCCTGGGGCGGCACGCTGGCACTGCCCAAGAGCCCGGAGGCTCTGGAGGCCAGCTGAGCCAGCGGCAATCCTAGACCCTGCCTCTCTGCTTGGAACAGTGTGACTACGCCGTTTTCTGTCTGCTCATTTGTGAACTGGGTTCCCGACCTAAATGTGGGGATTCAAGGGAGACAAAGAGTGTGCCGCTGGCCACCACTCTAACCTTCAGGAAGTGTGTGGGGGCACCGTAGAGGCCCTCTAGCCTTTGTAAACCAGGCCCTGAGGCTCCTGCCCAGTTGTACCCCTCCCCAGCAGTCCCCCCACTGTGACGTGCCACTGTGAGAACTCAGCGCTTAGAAACCACAAACCTGAAGGCTACTCCGTCGGCCACTAGGCTTGACAGGACTCGCGGACTTTCTCCGGAGTAGCGCTCTCAACTCGCGTCTTTCGCCTGGCACTTTCTCAGGACCCCAGAGTACCTACCGACCCCAGCAGGCCGGGGAGTCCAGGCCGCACCCATGCGGCCAATGGATCAGGAGCCGGCCTGGTGTCTCTCCAGCTGGGCACCTGCCGTCCGCCCCAGCGCCAGTTTCAGCATTGGGGGCGAAAGGTAAGGAGGGGAGTTGGCGGGGCGCCTCCTTCTCGGGGCTGAGCCGGCAAGAGCATCTTTTCCGCGAGTTCCTCATTGCCCAGCGAGCGCCGCCCAACTTCTGAGCCCTTGGGACCCGCTGCTCTGAGTCGCTCTTGGTACAGAAGACCAAGCACCCCCGGAAAACCGCATTCACCACCTTTGGGAGGCTTCTGGAGGAAGGCAAGGAGTCCAGGCGGGGCTTCCAGGGCTCTCGGGCTGGGGCTGGGTTGTGTTTGGGGGCGGGGGGGCTTTACGGATACTCCTCCCAAGCTGCTTCCTTTCCCTGACAGCAGCCATCGCCCCCAAGAGGGAGAGCCTTAGGCGTCCCAGAAGACCTCGCGGACTGTGCAGCGGCTGGCAGAGGGGACCTGTTTGCTGGCCCGTTTGGAGGTGAGATGGGGTGGGGTTTGGAGACTGAGAAGCCCAAGAGAAGACATTGAGTTTCTCCCCAGCCCTCAACCCCACTTCGGAAACCGAACCAGGTAGCCAAGAGGAATAAGGCGAAGTGTAAACACAAACAACCTCAGAAAGAAGCCAAGAAAAGCGAAGCCCAAAGAAGCAAGAGCAACACTGTTACAAAACTGTCTGGTTTTGTAACAATTTCCCCGCCGCCGGCCAATGAGCAGCGTGGCGGCACGTCACGTGGTACCGTTTTATATAACACTTTGCTGAGACAAGACAGTTATTAGGCGGCGCGGGGCAGCCGGCATGGAGCTCCCGGAGGCGCGGCAGGGCCCAGAGTTCGGCAGCACGGCGGCAGTGGCCGCCCTGATTTCTTCCAGCCGCCACTTCTTGTTTCGTGTTCCCGGTCCCTAGACGCCTCTTCCCCTCTCGTGTCCCTCTCCCTATGGAGCCAGTACGGACTGAACAGATGCTGAGCTTGCCCGCCGAGGTCAGCAGCAACAACTTAGATCCAGTGGAGCCGGCGGAGCGAGGGGCATCAGCGGCCGAAGTAGACACGGCTCCCCCACCAGAGGCCGCTGCAGAGGGTCCCGTACCTCCACCGACGCCGGAGCGAGAGCAAGAGCAGTCTCCGGGGACCTCAACGCCCGAGAGCAAAGTCCTGCTCACGCAGGCAGACGCCTTGGCGTCCCGGGGGCGCCTCCGGGAAGCCCTCGAGGTGTATAGACAGCTCTCCGAGCGACAGCAGCTGGTGGCTGAACAGCTGGAGCAGCTGGTGCGCTGCCTGGCGGAGAAAGTCCCGCAAGTCGAGGCGCTGACGCTGGCGCCCCCGGACGAGGGTAGCGCTGCAAGCGGCGCCGTAGCGGCGGAAGAGACAGGGGCTGCGGCGGCCACCGAGGTGTGGGACGGCTTTAAGTGCCGGAAATGTCATGGGTTTCTGTCAGACCCCGTGTCCTTGTCCTGTGGCCACACCTTTTGTAAACTGTGCCTGGAACGTGGGCGGGCCGCTGACCGGCGCTGTGCGCTGTGCGGGGTCAAGCTCTCCGCGTTGATGGTGGCCACTGGGCGGGCGCGTGGATCCCGGCGGACTGGGCAGCAGCCGCCGCCTCCGCCGCCACCGCTGCGAGTCAACGTGGTGCTCAGAGGCCTCCTCGGCAAGTTGTTCCCTGGCCCGGCGCGGGCGTCGCAACTCCGGCACGAGGGCAACCGGCTGTACCGCGAGCGCCAGGTGGAGGCGGCGCTGCTCAAGTACAACGAGGCAGTTCAGTTGGGTGAGTCCAGTGTGCTGCTGGGCTGGGGCTGGGGCTCGTTTGGCGACGAGGGTGCGGGAGAACAAACCCTGCAGCGAGATGGGACTTGGACCAGGGCGGAAGAGGGGACAGGGGACCCATGGACCCAGGCCGGGGTGGGGGAGGGGTGTTTCTGGGTCTGGGTCTCTGAGTTTGTCCTGTTTTCCCCGCTTTAGCTGTCTTTCTCTGTGTTTGTGTCGATATCGGTTGCTTTTGTCTTTTTCTGCCGACTTCTGTTAGCTTTGGTGTTCCTGTCAGTCCCAGTTCCTGTCTGTGTCTCCCTGTTTCTAGTTCTTTTTCTACATCTCTTCTCATCTTTGTCACTGTTTCTTTCTTGCTCAGTGTCACTCTCTGTTTCTCTGACTCTCCTCCTCCCGCTGCACACCCGGCCTCCTCTTACACCTGCTCACACCTTCCCAGTGAGGAGAGGAACTTCGCGCGCTCCTCGCACTGGCGCCCTGTCCTCCAGGCTGGCGATGTCCGGTCGGCGCCTGCGTGCCGCTCGCGTCGCCGGGTGTTGCCCCTTCCGGGGCCGCGGCTCCCTGTGGGGTGGGTCCGGCGTGGAATTAGGTCAGGAGAGCACTGGTTGCATAAGGGCCGCGAGCGGCCCGGGTCGGGCGGCCCCTCCTCCGCGCGGGCGGGCGGGATTGTGTAACCGCTGAGGTAACTGAAGTGGGCCACGCTCGCCTCGGAAACCATCCCACGAGCGTGTGCGGGGGGAGGGGGAGCGCTTGCGCCCCGCTGCCCTGTGACTCATTGTCACCGCTTCCTATCACACGATCTTCTGCTGAAATAGATGCCCCCTCCCTCCTCCCGCCCTGCCAACCCGCAGCATGTGCCCTGGCCTCGAACCCCTTTAACCCGGCCAGCCCGGTGGGAGACGGGGCCCGGCAACTGCTTGGGGATCCCCAGGGACCTTGGGCTGGCGACGAATGGGTCACGCCTCTGTCCTGCTTTCCAGCGCCGCCTGGGAAGGTTGGGTGGGTTTTGCAGCTTCAAGGGCAACGTGGGCAGTCCCACATCTCCAGTTGGACTAGGGCACCTGAATTTCCCCAGGGAGCCGCTCTCTGCGACCCACCACCTCTGGACCCAGGAAGTGGCTGCTGAGCTGCCAGTCCGTGTTGTCCAGCTCGGGCAGGCTGCCAGAAGCTGGGCCGTGGGGCGCGGTTGTCTGGCGAAGCATGACGACAGGAGGCAGCAGGGATGGGCAGACAGGGCCCTGGCATCCCAGGGTGTTCTGGACCTGACTCTATGGAGTGGAGGAAGGGTGTGGGCTGGAGTCTCCACGTGTTGAATCTCCACTCGGGCTTGCGACAGGTAATAGGAGAAGGTGGAATAAGGACTGATGGGGTGACACTGGCAGCTAGAGAAGGGGACCCCACCAGCCCCTGTCTGTGCACAAGCAAGGCACACTGTGAGCTGCCACCAGGCTGGAGTGTGCTGCAGAAGAGAAAAGACAGAAAAGACTGTAAACAATTTGCTAATGTCTTAAGAGCAAGTAATGGGCACCCAAGCAAGTCCTTAGCACACCCCTGGGGGAAAAGAAAAAAAAACAAAAAAACAACAAAAAAAAAAACATCAAAACCTGTTGCCACAGAGGAAGCTAGAGTCAGATCTTGGGGAAGAGCAGGGCAATATGAATGAAGCTCTGGAAGGCATTTAACTCCAGATCTCCAAGGCAGGTTACATTCCTTTTAGCCATCCTCCAAGGGCCAAAAAAGCCCCTTCCTGACCTCACCCTCTTCCTCTGTTGCTGCCACCTTTCCCTAGGGGTTCTTCCTTGCATCTTTGTTAATCCCCTCAGGGAAGTCAGGGTGAAAATGTCAAGGCCAGCTTTACCCTTCTAAGAGGAAAGGAGGCTCTCTGTTTTGGAAGATGGCCAGTGTGTCCATATTATTCCAAGTACTGTACACACCTTCAGAAAAAGGAACCTGCTCCCCAGCATTCTAGCTTCAAAGTCTCACCAGTTATCAGTGACTCTGTCCATCTAGCTGTGTGACCTTGAGAAGATGCTTTCCCTTCTCTGGGCTTGATTTTCCCCATCTGAAGAATGAGTTGATTGAGCCAGATAATCTCTAATCGCCTGTCCAGCTCTCACATCTAGTAATTCGGAGTTTTTGGTGAGAGCCAGCCTCACCTTATTCCCAGTAACCCTTTCCAAGTTCATTTACATTTGGTCATCTGAAATGAGAGGACAGGACCATATGAATATATTTTCCCATTCCATTTAGGGAATCTTCATATGTGCTGGGCTTTGTAGACAGAGATGTTGCTATTGTCATCAGTCCTCCTGGAAGATGAACTTGGATTTGTCTTCTTGGTGGTTCAGATAGGGGTCACATCTGCCCACTTCTCTCTCCTTCCTACCTGGCCTATTTTCTTGTTAGTGATAATGCCCTCAAACCTGGCTGCCAGGCACTAGCTGTGTGTAGCCACATCTTGTCTATGTCAAAGTGTCTAATGCATCACTGACACCACAGGGCCTCTAATGAACTTGTGAGTGGGGGTCAAAAATGACCTTGCAGTTGGGGAATCAAGACTGTCTGGCGGTGTAGAAGGCAGGACAATATTAGAACTAGAAATAGATCCCAATCCTTTTGATCTCCAGTAAAAAAGTCCTAGAAAACTTATCATTTGCTCAAGATCCATGCTCATAACAGGACTTACCACCTGCTTGCGCTGGCTGGGGGCCATTAATAAGGGTTTTTCTTTCTCATTTTGGCAGCTCCAAATGACCACTTGCTTTATAGCAATCGGTCTCAGATTTATTTCACCTTGGAGTCTCATGAGAACGCACTGCATGATGCAGAAATAGCATGTAAGCTCCGCCCGATGGGTTTTAAGGTGAGTGTGGGATGGGAGAGGTGGGAAGGGGTTGTACTGTAGACAGGAATTGGCAGGAAGGGCTGCCTCCCTGGAGCGTAGGGGCGCTAGAGCTCAAGCAGAGCAGGAAGAAGGCTTTGCAAAGGAGCCAGGGTAAAGATCCCTGGGCAAAGAGAGACTCAGGTCTGCAAGGGAACTGGATTCTTCCTCAATTCGGTCTTCAGCTGATGACCTTCAGAGCAGCCTGGGCATAGTGACTCTAGAATACGCCCTTGGAAGCCAAACTGCCTGGGTTTGTGTCCCAGCTCTGCTGCTTTTATGACCTTTGTGGCCTTGGGCAAATGACTTAACTTCCCAATACTTCATCTCCTCCTCTGTAAAATGGGGGATATTCAAAGCAGCTACTAAATAGGGTTGTTGCGAGGATTACATAAGCTAATAATGTAAGGTGCTTAGAACAGTGTCTGGCACGTAGCGCTATATAAACGCCTGCCTGCCTGCCTGCCTGCATGCCTTCCTTCTTTCGTTCGTTCCTTCCTTCCTCCCTCCCTTCCTTCCTCCCTCCCTTCCTTCCCCCTTCCCTTCCTCCCTCCCTCCCTCCCTCCCCGCTTCCCTTCCTCCCTCCTTCCTTCCTATTTTTTTTTTTTTTTTTTTTTTTGAGATAGAGTCTCGCTCTGCCGCCCAGGCTGGAGTACAGTGGCATGATCTCAGCTCACTGCAACCTCCATCTCCCGGGTTCAAGCGATCCTCTCACCTCACCTAACAAGTAGCAGGGATCACAATAGGCATATGCCACCATGCCTGGGTAATTTTTGTATTTTTAGTAGAGATGGGGTTTTGCCATGTTGGCTGGTGTCAAACTCCTGGCCTCAGGCAATCCACCCACCTCAGTCTCCCAAACTGCTAGGATTAGAGGCCTGAGCCACTGTGTCTGGTCCATATAAATGTTTTCTATCATCATCATTATCATTTTCTAGGGACATTAGAAAGAGGAGGTGAGAGTAGCATGGCTGGCCTGGCCCTCCTGAACCTCTGCTGATAGCCAGGCTCCTTGGCAGCTTAGCCAGTTTTCTCTGAAGGGATCCGTACACTCACACAATGGTTGTGCCATTTCGAGTCCTTAATATAGTCAGTCAGCCTGCCAGTATCCCCAAGGATTTAGGTCAAAGGGGGGGGGGAGAAGAAAGACAGGCTTGACACCTCTCAGGATGCCAGGATGCAAAGTGTCACTTTCTGTATCTTTGCCTGGCTTCAGGACTGGCCCTCAGCCACATGTCAGTACTTTGTTTTGAAGATTAGATTTGAGCCTGTGCTCTACTACTTGTAAGCCATGGGGAGGTGGCTTCACTCCCTGAACCCCAAGTATCCTTGTTTGCAAAATGAAGCTATTGATATCTACCCTGATTACTTCACAAGGATGCAGTGAGAGTCAAATGTGAACGTGGCCAAGAGGACATTCTGCAAGCTATAAAGCTTGCTGGGTGTAGTGCTCTCTCTACCAACCCAAGGATGCCTTCCTCAGAAATCCATTTTATCCAAGTTCAAGTCCATGATCCCTTATCTGAATACTATAAGACCAGAAATGTTCAGAATCCAGAATGTTTTAGATTTTACAAGGACAATATATTATGTCTTGGTGAGCTCCGGACAGCTTCCTGTAGTCAAACATTATCTCTCCAGCAGATTCTGTGAAAATTCACACTCTGTGGGACAAATATTTTAAAGCACTTCATGTCAGTTTAGGTCAGGTTTTGCCATCCAATGAATTTTGATGTCAAGCTTATGAAAATAATGGGTTATCAGAACTTTTTTGGATCTGGAAACTTCAGATACAGCATGTGGACCTGTGTACTCTGCCATGAATGTCAGGTGAATCTTGTATGTTCTTTCCTGAGAAGGTTTTCATGAGTGATGATGGATTTGTATGCTCTTTTTTTCCAAGAAGGTTTTCCTGAGTGATGATGGATTAGTATGCTTTTTTCCCAAGGAACACAGTTAGCGTTTAATACAAATCACCAGTGTCTTAACCCAAAGGAGCTATAGTGGGGGCACTTTTGGGCACTAGTGCAAGTCAGGGAGCTGCCTAGGAGTAAGAGGACTTGCAACTCTGTCCACCTCCACCCTAAGCCTAGATCCTAGGGCTAAGGACTTGGATAGTGTGATAAGAAGCAGAGCTGAGAAACAGTGAAGCATTTTGGATGAAATGGGAAAAGTGACTTCCCCAGTGAAGGAAGAGTTGAAGAAAGTATTAAATAGGAGCTTCATTTCCCTATAGTGATGGACGGAGAGGTGGGGGCAGTGATGAGATAATTTATTGTCTTGAGGGTTAAGAGAAGAGACTGGAACTGATGCATGTAATTCAAAACTACCTCTAGCCCTGATTTGCATATTTTTCAACATTTCTATGTAAAATGCCCAAAGTGTAGGGGTTTATCTGGCAGCCCTATTCTCCATTCCAGCCATCCAGTCAGAGTGTGTGGTACTCAGTGCATCCTGCAGGTGATACAGCTCTCAGTGTTGTGAGCTGGTTTTCCTGAGCAGGTAGAGTATATGGGTTGGCTGGGTGCACTGGCTCATGCCTGTAATCCCAGCACTTTGGGAGGCCAAGGCAGGTAGACAACTTGAGGTCAGGAATTTCAGACCAGCCTGGCCAACATGGTGAAACCCCATTTCTACTAAAAATACAAAAATTAGCCTGTCATGGTGACACATCACTGTAGTCCCAGCTACTCAGGAGGCTGAGGCACGAGAATCGCTTGAACTCAGGAGGCGGAGGTTGTAGTGAGCCAAGATCCGCCACTGCACTCCAGCCTGGGTGACAGAGCAAGACTCTGTCTCAAAAAAAAAAAAAAGAGAGACAGAGAGTATATGGATTGCTACTTGATATGATTAGTGGGATCACAGAGGCCTTTCCAGTCTCCCAGCACTTCTCCCCTCTGGTTGCCCTATGATGTCATGCAAGCCCTTCCCCAAAGGTCCTTGGTAAACACCACAGGGAGAGGCAACAAAGGAAGCCGTCAGCATCCATGTATCCACCAAGACAAGACTTCAGAAGGAGCTTGGGGAATGCAGAGAGGTCCTCATTGGAGCAGGGGCCACTGTTCAAGAAGGCAACTTCAGGTCGGCCTCTGTAGCAGGCCATAGCCGGGGCCTGCAGAGAGGCATGTTAGAAAGGGAGGCAGGGAAGTATCCAGCAGCCACAACCTGGATCAATCACTTCATTCACTAAGTTAGACTTAGTGTTGCTCATGGAGGAGGCAAGGGAGCAGGCCACTGGGTGGAGGGACATCCTAGATGACTCAAGTGAAATGCTCTTCAAGCCAAGTTGCTAGTGTCCACCTGTCTCAAGACACACACAGAGGGCAGCCCTCTCCCCTACTCTTTTTTCTTCTTCCTTCTTCCCCAGGATGTTCCTCCGCTTTCTCTAGAATGTCTCTCCCAGAGCAGTTGGGCTTGGAGCTATAAACAACTTTATACTTTTTAAAGTATGTGGTGAAGGAGCAGAAGTGAGCCAAGCCCCTAGGAGATAAAGTATCTGCTCAGCCCCCTGGTTAGCCCTCCAAAGGGCAGTCTGCTTCATGGAGAAGAACATTCTGGGAGTCCTGAGACTGCAGTTTGAGTTCAAGTTTTGCCACTAGTTACCTTTGAGGTCTTGGAGAGATCAGATCCCTTTTCCTGGGACTCTTCTGAAAATTGATCAGTTAGTTTAGGTGCTCATTTAAGCCACTACTGAGGACTAATTCTCTGCTTGACAGACTAGTTCAAAGGAAGGCATAACTGGGCAGGCCCTGAAAGCTGGTTAGCATGTGGTAAAATGGGGGTTCTTGCTACATTTGATGGTCACTCCGTACAATGTTGGGGCAGAGACAAGGTAGCATGGCACAGTGGTTAAGAATATGGTTCAGGGCTGGGCGCGGTGGCTCAAACCTGTAATCCCAGCACTTTGGGAAGCCGAGGCGGGTGGATCACAAGGTCAAGGGATCGAGGCCATCCTGGTCAACATGGTGAAACCCCGTCTCTTCTAAAAATACAAAAAATTAGCTGGGCATGGTGGCGTGTACCTGTAATCCCAGCTACTGAGGAGGCTGAGGCAGGAGAATTACCTGAACCTGGGAGGCGGAGGTTGTGGTGAGCCGAGATCACGCCATTGCACTCCAGCTTGGGTAACAAGAGTGAAACTCCGTCTCAAAAAAAAAAAGAAAAAAAAGAATATGGTTCAGGTTCAAACTCTGATCCCACAATTTACCAGCTATATTACATTGGGCAAGTTAACTTTTTTTGGGTTTCAGTTTTGTCTTCTTTAAAATGGCATTAGAACAGTTGCCTGCATTTTAGGGCTGTAGATAAGAGAGTCTTTTTTTTTTTTTTTTTTTTTTTTTTTTTTTTTTGAGATGGAGTCTTGCTCTTGTTGCCCATGCTGGAGGGCAATGGCATAATCTCAGCTCACTGCAACCTCCGCCTCCCAGGTTGAAGTGATTCTCCTGCCTCAGCATCCTGAGTAGCTGAGATTATAGGTGCCTGCCACCACATCTGGCTAATGTTTGTATTTTTAGTAGAGATGGGGTTTTGCCATGTTGGCCAGGCTGGTCTGGAACTCCTGACCTTGTGATCGGCCCCCTCGGCCTCCCAAAGTGCTGGGATTATAGCTGTGAGCCACCTTGCTGGCCAAGAGAGTCCTTTTAAGATGTTTCATACAACAGTGCGTGCTCTGGGTTATTTATTGTTACAGTAGTAGTGTTAATAGGCTGCATAAAATGGGATTGAATGCTGATGTTTCCTTCCAGGCACATTTCAGAAAAGCCCAAGCCTTAGCCACCCTAGGCAAGGTGGAGGAGGCACTAAGGGAGTTTCTCTACTGTGTATCCCTTGATGGAAAGAACAAGAGAGCAAGAGCTGAAGCCCAAAGAGTGAGTTGAAATGACGTCAGGTCCAGCTGCCTAATGGACCCTCACCTCTCTGTCTTCTCTAGGAAGGGGAGTGAGCGTGCTTGTCTCCCTGGCATTTGGGGTCCTGAGTGGGTGGTTTCCTGGGTTAAGGGGACAAAAGGGAGATGGGAGTGCTAACTGATTGCCCAGAAACACCATGCTTCTGGTGTGTACAATGAGATTGGGCAGTTCCTACATTTTTGTAGAAGCCTGTGAGGAATATTCTTGCTTGACTCAGGGTCTGGATTGTCAGTGGGAGAAAAACCAAAATCAAGTACATTAACATGGGGATTGAGGTTCACTGAGGACATTCTGGCTGTTGATGCGAGATCCAGGGTGTGGGGCCGCCTGCCATTACATAACTTTTCTTTGGCTGAATCACAGTTTTCAGCAGCCACACAGGACAGCCAGCCCCTGGGAAGGGACACTGGTCGTCTCCACCTCCCCTATCACCATACACAGAACTTCAACCTTCAGCTCCTTTGCTAGAAATAAAACACACTGCCTCACAAATGCTAGTCAGAGACTGTTATAATCCAAACAGTCATTTCAACTCTTGGGTCCCAAGAGAATGTGGTAGTTATAAAAGAAAAATGGCACGAAATACTGAGAGCGTGAGTGAAGGCTCAGGTATCTTCAATTCATGAACTTTGTTGTTTATTGCTTTACAATTGACTCTCCTGGTACCTGGTTAATCAGCCTGGAAGTTGGATTCTGACAGTCGGTGGTTGTCTCTGCTCTCCTTGTGTCCCACCCCCTACTCCGCCGAGTCCCATGGTTTCTGTCCCAGTGTAGTGTGGCAGAGCAGTGGATGAAGAAAGTGAGCAAGAGACAGAACTGGTTTCTGAAGGCTCTAGAAAGGAACGGTTAGCAAAATCGCTGAACTAAAGGAACTGGCTCTGGATTTTCTGTCTCTCACAGAGGATTTCCTTTCTGGGAAGTTGCTTTGAATTTGTTTGAGTATGTGGACAAGGTGTGATTGAGAGGAGTATGCTCGAAGCTATGGACCCTTCTCCAAATCTTAAGTGTAGTCCATAGTGTGAGTAATGATAGCAATAATAATAGCTAACATTTGCTGAGTATTTCTTCTGCACCAGACACTGCGCTAGGCACTTTATGTGGAATATGTAATTTAAACCCCACTACATTCCTTTGCGGTGAGGTATGGTGATTCATCCTCGTGGTACACATGAGACAGATGAAGCTAGTTCTTGCTGACTTTCCCAAGGTCATGCAGCTGATGATTGGTGGGAAAGTATTCGAACCCAAGTCTATCTGCTTCCAAAGCCTGGTCTGTTAGCTGCTCCGCCATCCTGCTTCCCATGAGGACATGGCCACAGCTTCAGCACGCACTGGTAGCAATGGAACTTTCTAGTTCTGGGATGAACAAAGGCAGTTAGAAGAAACTTGAATTTGGGGACAGAGTGTGTAAAGGCCAGCAGAGGCAAGTCTCAGACCCAAGGAGGAAAGGTTTCTTGACTCCTGTTTGTCCATTTCCCAGTCGGCCTGAGATGTTCTTGGTACCATCAGCTGGGCTGACCTGTCTCTCCAGTCCACTTTTACAGACAAACTGTTGTCATTTCCACAGCTGCCTAATGGCTTGAGGCAAGGCATTGTGTAAAGCTCTGGAGACCCAAAGAGGCATAAGTCACAGTCTTAGCCTTCAAGGAACTTACAATCTTGCATTTGTTAACCTAAATGCCAGATGACACAAGCTAGCATGTGCCGGTGATGAGTGTTACAGAGTTCTGAAGTGAGCATGAGAACTTAGAGGCAAATTTCCATTGAGTGTGATGAGGCCATGGCAGTGATTAAGAACATCGAGGATCCTCAGTTGTGTTTATTTACTAAAGCATTCCTGTTTCAGGACTAAAGATTTGACAGAGATGATGCAAGTTCAGTTGGCATTAATAAGCTTCCTTCAAACTCACAGGCCTGTGTTTCTTTTGAATGTTTTTACCTCAGATTCTTTTTCCTCCTTTTTGACCTATTTGGGTCTTTCTAAGACTGAGGCTGAAGTGGAATTGACTTTCATTCATGTGGAATGATCATTCTCACTGAGAGTTGATCCCAGCTTTTGTTTTTTAATGCCATTGAGAAGGCCTGGAGAGAGATCTTAAGTAGTAAAACGAAGAAGGGAACTGCTGTTGTTATTTCTGCTTTGTTTCTTTTGATTTCTCCCTTGGACTCTTTCCTTCCCACCACCATCTGCCCTTTCATCCTGGCACCTTGTGATGCTCTGTGGCTGCCATTGAAGAGCATTATGCTCTTTTTGGGAGAATTCCAGGGATACTGCCTCCTTAGAACTGGTTTGGTCCTGTTGGGTCACTCGTTAGGGCTTCTGAGGGTCAACCTTGGCTCCTGTGGAGGAGGGAGCTCTGAAAGCTGACATTTATGGCCCTGGGTGCTGTGAGTACCTCCCCATCTCACTCCTTTGCCACCTCATAACTGGAAAGTGTGTTTCTCAGAGCTGAAAGGAAACATAGGCATCAGTCTGAGGACTTTGGGCCTGAATGCTAGGCCTCTCCCTGGGCCCTGGGGTTATCCACCCCAGGGGATTCAGTTCCATCCGGTGTGATGAGTATTTATTGGGTATCTGTTATATGCCCTCTAGAAGCTGGCCATCTGGCAGGAGAGAAAGGCTTACATCTGTGACACCTTTCTAGGATAACGTAACGTGGTGCCTCTGTTGTTGTTCAAGATGCTATATTATGGTACACTCTCTACTGCATAGGACAGGACTGGAGTAGTGAGGGAAGGTAGCACTTGAGCTGAGCTTTGAAGGCTGAGCAGGGTTTGGCTTCATGGTGAGTGCTGGCATCTGAAGGAATATCATGAAGAGACTGCTGGGGGCCAGAGAATAAATCAAACTGGAGTTTGGGATTCTGTCAAATTTCATTGATCAATTAATACCCTGACTGTGTACCTTCAACACGGGACAGGAGCATGCAGGAGCTGCTGGGTGGTAAGCACTGGAACAGTTTTTTAGATGCAAAGTCACGTGCTCTCCTTGTGTTACGTGTTTCAGTATATGGAAACACACACATACACACACAAACATGTAATCCTTGCTGCTACAGGGGAAACTTGGGGCAGGAATGTGGACAGTGAATGGTGCAAGCTACATTAGAATGTGTGTCTAACCTCTCAGCTTATCCAATTGCAAGGGAAACCAGCAAGAGACAGAAACCTCCTTGCTCCTAGTACTTGAACTTAACCTAACATCCTCTCGGAAGCAAAGGCCAGAATAGGGGAGGTGACGCTGGGAGAAGAGGGAGGAAGCTGGAGTTCTGTTTTTCCTAACAATTAACTGCTCAGGTTCCCAGCTCTGAAAGGATCAAAGATCCAGGGGTGATGGTGGGGAGATGAGGAAGCAAAATGGGTAGTGGAGAAAAGAAACAGTGAGGATCCTAGAAGACATCTGTAGACTTCTGCCTACTGAGGCATTATAAACTTCAAGTTCCCCAACTGAGGTTTCTCCCTGACTTCACCTCTCTGTCTCTTTCCTCTTAGATGGGTTTTTTTAAATCCCACTGCAGACATTTCTGTGAAGTGTTAGCACCAGTGTGGTGGCTCTTAACGTTGGCTAGGCAGCAGAGGCATCTGTAGTGACTTCTCAAAATCCAGATTCCTGGACCGCTCTTCAGACCTGGGGGAGATGAAAGTAGGAAATAGAGACCTAGATTTTTCATAAGTTCCCCACTTAATTCTGATACCCACTGAAGCAAGGACCCCTGCCCTGGTGTGGTGTGTTGGGGATACTGGTCAAAGGCTTCCTCCTTAGAGTTCTGCCCTGCAAGCTGCCCCCACCGCCCCTCCCCCCTTCACCTGGGCATCTGTAGAAACTTAAGTAGTGAAGTCTTCTGTTTTATGTACCAGCTTCTCCTTAGTTTCTTTTCACCATCTGTCCCGGGGGACTCTCAGGAACATTCTCCCAATATCCTGAAGCTGTTGGCACCTCACCCTAGATTAAAGGAAGACGTAGAGTCAATAACTACTGAAGTTACCAGCCATAATCTGCCAAGGTTGTTACAGGTAAAATTCAACTCACCCAGCTCACTCATGACACTTTGTTTGGCTTTTTTGGGGGGCCAACGTGGGGAGTGAGCCCTTCCTCTCCTATTTTGGTGCCTGAGAAAGAAGAAACAGAGTCACTAGTGGTTCTATTTTTGGCAAAGAACCTCCTAAAGATACAGCTGTGAATTGCAGGCATGGTCTCAAGAGTTATTCATTACATTAAAAAAAAAAAAAAATTTGAATCAGGGTCTCGTTTTGTCACCCAGGCTGGAGTGCAGTGATGTGATCATGGCTTACTGCCTCAGACTCCTGGCCTCAAGAGATCCTCCCTCCTCAACCTCCTGAGTTGCTGGGACTACAAGCATGCACCACCATGCCCGGCTAAGTTTTTTTTTTTTTTTTTTTTTTTTTTTTTTTTGGAAGAGATGGAGTTTCACCGTTTTTGCCTAGGCTGGTCTTGAACTCCTGGCCTCAAGTGATACTCCCAACTTGGCCTTCCAAAGTGCTAAGATATATAGATGTAGATATAGATATATATTTTCAGTTCTTAGTTAGATCCAGCCAAGAGAGAGATTTGATAAAACTAGAAAGGAATTGGCTTACTGCCCCTGGGCCATGCAATTTGGGTGGGTTTATAGGCTTCCAGGCGGAGTCTGGGAAGAGGGCCTGACAGTCTCTCCTTTAGAGCTTTTTGTTTGTTCTAGCTGCTAGCCTTTGAGTGCCAGCACAGATCCTGTGCAAAGACAACTCTGATCCCCAAATGGATGTAATTTTGTATTTCTGCACTATACCTTATACATAAGTAAGCTTCCAATACCTATTTGTAGCAGAGAAGAGGAAAGAGATGTTGGGAAAGAATGTGGAGTTGAAGGACGTGGGAGGAAGACAGATATTGGTGCCTTTCTTTGAAAACCAGGAAACAGAACACAGAGATGGGCCCCAGGCCCTGGCTGTCTCAGCAGAGGTTAAGTGGGCAGAAGTTGAGGATCAGAAGCCCAGACTCCAAGGCAAAGTTTAGCACTGAATGTCTGGGCACCTTTAAGGGGGCAGTTTTCCCTCCATTCATGCTCGATGTTCTTCTCCTGTGTATAAGGCCTGGGCTCTCACAAGGACTAAAATGCAGGTGTGTCCAACTTTTCTTTAAAAAAAGGCAGAACTTGCAGGATCTCCTGAAATCAGAGAACTCCCAGTGATTTCAATAATTAAGATCACTGTTACCTGACTGAGAATGCTAATACTGAACTCAAATGCCGGAGCGACTTCTAATTGCAGCTCCATCTGACAAGAAGAAAAATGCCAATGTTGGCTTTGCAGTGTGAGCCAGCTGAGGAACAAGGATTGGATTTCCACCCAAACTTTGCTTTGCAAAGCAGTATACTCCTGAGTGGACAATGCCTTGGGCTCATGGAAAGTCAACGTTGTATTATTGCTATAGTGCTGGAGAAAACCCCAACTCCCCAAGTTAGAGACAGAGAACACCCACATTATTTTTCTCCTCACCTCATTGTTTTCTCCCAGCTATATGCTCCCCTTTTTCACCTGTCTACCAATTTTTTTTTTTTTTTTTTTTTTTTTTTTGGTGTGGTTAGAGGGAAACAACAAGATGAATATTTTGACCTGGAGACTATGGGTTTAGATTAGAGAGGAGTTCTCCATGTAAATTTGCATAAACATACCATTATTACGTTTATTTCTAAATCCATTTTCAAATATCCATTTCCTCGGAAAATATTAAAAGGCTAGAGACATTATTGATTTTTTTGCCAGGTGATTTTGCCTTTTTTTTTTTTTTTTTTTAATGCTTATCACCTCAAATCTAGTAAAAGGAATGGTTTGTACCTGGTTCATTTGACCAGTGTAACACGTAGCCCTGGAGTATGAGGTAACTTGGCAGGCCATGAACAGACCTGTGCCAAAGCCCTGCCAAAAGTCCTTTTGGAGCTGGAGTTTGGGAATCACAGATGGCTGTGAATGGCAGTGAAGGTGAGAGGAATTACTGAGTGACAGGATCTGGCCTCACTGTCTGCCTTGGTTTTGCTAAAGTGGTTACTGGGGAAAGATGTGATAAGAAGGGGAACTGGCGCTATCCCTGACATTTCCCCTTTTTGCACCTACTTAAGGAGCCTCTCCTCCTACGTACCTTCCAGTCCTTGCCTAGGGAAATTCCCTAACTCCACCCAAGCTGGGTATGCCTTGGATGCAGATGCTGTGTGGACAAGAAGTGGGAAACAATGCTTTATGACAGCCCCTCGGTTGAGCTCTGTGTCCACTATGCGATCAAGGGAGGGGATCAGGACTCTATAATTTCCCTTTGTCCTTCTGGGTAGCAATATCAGAGGACAATATTGGTCCTAAGAAGATTCTGATATTTGGCCCTTTCTTCATTCAGGACAATCTGGAGCTCCCACACTGTTCTAGTCAGGAGGAAGCAGCAGCCAGGGGAGACGGCAGCAGTCCGAAGAACGCAGCTAAGGTGAAGGGGGATGGTCAGCAGCACCACATGAAAGACCAAGAAGAAGAGGAGGGGAAGCAGGATGCTGCCTCTCCAGAAGCTGCTTCCAGCAAGACTGGAAAATGCCAGGGAAAGAAAAGGAAATATTGCCAAACTGATGTCCAAGATAACACAGGGATGTCTAATAAAGCCTCCAAGCAAGGTTCTGGCTCTACGCAGGGAGAAGGTAGCTGGGAGGAGATGCCTGGGGTCACCAATATATACAAGTTACTTACCTCTGTCCGGGGGCTCCTTAGGCTCTGGGTGTGTGGCCTGCTGTGGCATTTACTAGCTGTGTGACCTCAGAGATTGCTATGAGGCTTCTGTGAGATCATGCACAGTGCCTAGCACACTATAAGTGTTCAATACTAATTATTAATATAATGGAAAGCCAAGGCATCAGCTCAAGCACAGTATCAACTAATGACATTCCATACCCATGAGGATGCCACTTCCTTCTAGTCAACCTCTCACTATCCCCATCCCCATTCTAGGAATGCAGGATGAGGGAAGTGAGGTCAGGCCTCACCCTGATCATTCTCAGCTGTGTTCCCATAGGTAGGCATGTGAAAAGCAGCAGCTGTGGCTTGCTATCTTACCAAGAGAGGTTGGCAGTGCCAAGATTCAGTTTTAGCTTTGAAGGCCTGGCTCAGTCCATTCAGTTGCTGTCGCTTCTGCTGTTGAGAGAGGTTCCTGATGCATTTGAATGAAGTCCCCAGGGCTCCTGGGCATTTCTTGACGTGCATTTCTCTTTCTGTGGGGGGCTGCTGGAAACCTCTGAGAGCCTACTTCGGAGTATCCCATTCTTAACGGCTCAGGTGTCCAGTAAATCAGCTTTCTGAGAGGTGGTGAGCATGGCAAACTGAAAAACGCATTGGATTCTTTGGCCTCAGAAGTACTATCAAGGAAACCAGGGTAGCTCCAGCGCTGACTTCTTGCTTTCTAACTCGCAGATCCTCCCACTGATCAGGGGGCCACACCTGCTCTCAGTTTACCACTTGCATCCTTCGACGCATCTGACCTTGAATGCGCTCTATGTATGAGGTACGTCCTGTGTACTGTCATTGACCGCCTGATGTTTCTTCATCTCTGGTGTCTGAACCTTTCCGCTAGTGACCTACTGCTGGGTTGGTTAGCATGCAAAAAGCATAGCTCTAACGGAATGGAAATCACAACATGGTGAAACCCTGTCTTTATTAAAAACACAAAACTTAGCCAAGTGTGGTGGCACAAGCCTGTAATCCCAGCTACTTGGGAGGCTGAGGCATGTGAATTACTTGAACTGGGGAGGCAGAGGTTTCAGTGAACAGAGATCACACCACTGTACTCTCAGCCTCTCCAAAAAAGAAAAAAAAAAAAAAGACATATTCAGACATATTAAGCCCAGTGGGGCATCGGTTTGTGACCTGTGAATAGACCATTCCCTTCCCACTCTCCAGGTTTTTCTAAGTCAGGAGTCAGGAATGCAAGGAATGCAGTCTGTGGGCAGGGGACACAAGCTGACCCAAGTGACAATCAACGTTCCCTATTCTTGGGAAGCCACGTGGTGGGGATGACTGGCTTTTGTTTTGTGTTGTGCCATGAATATTAGTAGTGGGCCTGAGATACTTAGCCAAGTATCTCCCTGCCAACCAGTACCACATCATCTCTGTTTACTCAGATCTCTGGAGAGGCAGATTATCCACATGCTCTCCTACCCCAAAAGAAAGATGCTATGATTGTGGTGTGTGTAACCATATACAATTTTTTTTTGAGATGGACTTTTGCTCTTGTTGACCAGGCTAGAGTGCAATGCCACGATCTCGGCTTACCACAACATCCGCCTCCTGGGTTCAAGCGATTCTCCTGCCTCAGCCTCCCAAGTAGCTGGGATTACAGGCACCCACCATCACACCTGGCTAATTTTTTGTATTTTTAGTAGAGATGGGGTTTCTCCATGTTGGTCAGGCTGGCCTTGAAATCCTGACCTCAGGTGATCCACCCGCCTTGGCTTCCCAAAGTGCTGGGATTACAGGTTTGAGCCACCGCACCTGGTCTTATTTTTTTTTTTGACGGAATCTCGCTGTCACCCAGGCTACAGTGCAGTGGCGTGATCTCGGCTCACTGCAACCTCTGCCTCCCAGGTTCAAGTGATTCTCCTGCCTCAATCTCCCGAGTAGCTGAGACTACAGGCGCATGCCACCACACCTGGCTAATTTTTTTGTATTTTTAGTAAAGATGGGGTTTCACGCCAGGATGGTCTCGATCTCCTGACCTTGTGATCCACCCACCTTGGCCTCCCAAAGTGCTGGGATTACAGGCATGAGCCACTGTGCCCAGCCTACAATTTTTTAAAATTACTTACATGTGTTTGATTTCACACCTGTAACTTAGTGGCTAAGAGGAGAGGCTCCCTGGCTTTACTAGCTGTTTGACCTGGAGAGAGTGACATTCTCTGCTACTGTTTTCTTGTTAGTAAAATAGAGAACAGTTGTACCTACTCCATGGGGTTGTCATGATTAATTGAGAAAAGTCTATTTAACACCTGGAATAGTGCCTGGCATGTAATAGATATTCAGTAAATGTTAACTATTTTTTTTCCTTCTAGACCAGAGATCAGAAAGGAAACTTTAGGTCTATGGACCTCTGAGGAGGTTCTGTGTATGGATTCTAATAGATGTATGAATGCCCCAAAGTTGCATGTTAAAGTGTGTGGGTTTTCCAGGACAAGGTCCACATCCTTCAGCAGATTCACAAATGTGTCTGTTTTCCAAAAGAGCATTAAAAGGAGGCTGAGATATTTGCAGAGAAATTAAGATGGTTGTCACTGTTGGTTGCACTGGAGGGTCCTGCGGACTGTGGGGCTTCCAGATCAACTACAAGAACAAACCAGCAATCCTGAGAGGACCCACAGTCCCTCTGAAGGAAGCGGGTTGCTTCTGCAGGACCCAGGGGACACCCCAAATACACTGAGAGGCAAATTGCCTTGGGCACGTTCTCAAGCCTGTCTCAGCCTCCACCTGGAAACAGACCCAGGGCTGTTGGGGAAGACATGGTGGGAGTAAAACTGGTCCTTTGGTTTGTGTGGGAGCTGGGTGAGGCCTGGGACTGCTGTATTTCCCTAATTTCCCTGACAACCTGCATGACTCAGCAAAGGCAGACATAATCCTCCTAGGGACAAAGCTCCAGTGACCTGGGAATCTCATCCCCATCCCCCATAGCAGCTGCAGCAAGACCTGCCCAAAGAGAGCCTGAGCTCAGACACACCTAGCCCTGCCCCCACCTGATGATCCTTCCCTACCCACCCTGGTAATGGAAGACAAAGGACATGTAATCTTGGGAGTTCTAAGGCCCCACCCATCCTTTGTCCCTCTCCACATTACCACAGCTAATGCTTTCTGGAAAGCACACCTTCTGGCAGGAGGCCAACCAGCACAAAAATAGAGCATTAAGCCACCAAAGCTAAGGACCCTCACAGAGTCCATTGCACCCTCTGCCACCTCCACCAGAACAGGTGCTGATATCCACTGCTGAGAGACCCATAGATGGTTCATATCACAGGACTCTGTGCAGACAACCCCCATTACCAGCCCAGAGCCGGGTAGCCCTGTTGGTGGCTAGACCCAGAAGAGAGAGAACAGTCACTGCAGTTTGGCTCACAGGAAGCCACATTCATAAGAAAAAGGGGAGCGAGTAGTACATCAAGGGAACACCTCGTGGGACAAAAGAATCTGAACAACAGCCTTCAACCCTAGACCTTTCCTCTGACAGAGCCTACTCAAATGAGAAGGAACCAGAAAACCAACCCTGATAATATAACAAAACAAGACTCTTCAGTGCCTTCAAAAAAATCACACTAGTTCACCAGCAATGGATCCAAACCAAGAAGAAGTCCTGATTTGCCTGAAAAAGAATTCAGGAGGTTAGTTATTAAGCTAATCAGGGAGAGACCAGAGAAAGGCAAAGCCCAGTGCAAGGAAATCCAAAAACTGGTACAAGAAGGGGGAAATATTCATGGAAATAGGTAGCTTAAAGAAAAAGCAGTAAAATATTCAGGAAACTTTGGACACACGTTTAGAAATGTGAAATGCTCTGTAAAGTCACAGCAATAGAATTGAACAAGCAGAAGAAAGAAATTCAGAGCTTGAAGACAAAGTCTTCAAATTAACCCAATCCAATAAAGACAAAGTAAAAGGAGTAAGAAAATATGAGCAAAGCCTCCAAGAAATCTGGGATTATGTTAAATGACCAAATCTAAGAATAATCAGTGTACCTGTGGAAGAAGAAAATTCTAAAATCCTGGAAAACATATTTGGGGGAATAATCAAGGAAAACTTCCCTGACCTTGTGAGAGACCTAGATATCCAAATATAAGAAGCAAAAAGAACACCTGGGAAATTCATTGCAAGAAGATCCTTGCCTAGGCACATTCTCATCAAGCTATCCAAAGTTAAGATGAAGGAAAGAATCTTAAGAGCGGTGAGACAGTAGCACCAGGTATCCTATAAAGGAAAACCTATCAGATTAACAGCAGATTTCTCAGCAGAAACCTTAAAAGCTAGAAGGGACTGGGGACCTATCTTCAGCCTCCTCAGACAAAACAATTGCCAGCCAAGAATTTTGTATCCAGTGAAACTTAAGCATCACTTATGAAGGAAAGATAGTCATTTTTGGATGAACAAATGCTGGGAGAATTCAGCATTACCAAGCTACCACTATAAGAACTGCTAAAAGGAGCTCTAAATATTGAAACAAATCCTGGAGACACATCAAAACAGAACCCTCTTTAAAGCATAAATCACATACGACCTAGAAAACAAAAATACAAATTAAAAATCAAAAACAAAAAACAAAGCACACAGGCAACAAAGAGCATGATGAATGCAACGGTAGCTCACATTTCAATACTAACATTGAATGTAAATGTCCTAAATGCTCCACTTAAAAATACAGAACATCAGAATGGATAAGAACTCACCAACCATCTGCTGCCTTCAGGAGACTCACCTAACACATAAATACTCACACATAAACTTGAAGTAAAGGGGTGGAAAAAGGCATTTCATGCAAATGGACACCAAAAACAAGCAGGGGTAACTATTTTTATATCAGACAAAATAAACTTTAAAGCAACAGCAGTTAAAATAGACAAAGAGGGACACAGCATATAATGGTAAAAGGCCTTGTCCAACAGGAAAATATCACAATCAATCCTAAACATATATGCACCTAACACTGGAGCTCCCACATTTATAAAACAACTACTAATGGACCTAAGAAATGAGATAGACAGCAATACAATAATAGTGGGGGACTTCAGTACTCCACTGACAGCACGAGATAGGTCATCAAGACGGAAAGTCAACAAAGAAACAATGGATTTAAACTACGCCTTGAAACAGATGGACTTAACAGATACATACAGAACATTTCATCCAACAGCCACAGAATATACATTCTATTCGACGGTGCATGCAGATTTCTCTAAGATAGACCATATGAGAGGCCATAAAGCGAGCCTCAATAAATTTAAGGAAACCAAAATTATATCAAGCATTCTCTGAGACGACAGTGGAATAAAACTGGAAATCAACTCTAAAAGGAACCTTCGAAACCATGCGGATACGTGGAAATTAAATAACCTGCTCCTAAATGAGCATTGGGTCAAAAACAAAATCAAGATGGAAATTAAAAAGTTCTTCAAACTAAATGACAGTAATGACACAACCTATCAAAGCCTCTGGGATACAGCAAAGGCGATGCTAAGGATATAGGTATAGCTCTAAGCACCTACATCGAAAAGTCTGAAAGAGCACAAACCAACAATCTACGGTCACACCTCAAGGAACTAGAGAAATAAGAACAAACCAAATCCAAACCCAGCAGAAGAAAGGAAATAACCAAGATCAGAGCAGAACTAAATTAAATAGAAACGACAAGAAGAAAATACAAAGGATAAACAAAAAGCCAGTTATTTGAAAAGATAAATAACATTGATAGACCATTAGCACGATTCACCAAGGAAAGAAGAGAGAAAATCCAAATAACCTCACTAAGAAATGAAA